ATCTGTTTTGAACTGTTATAGTGATGCCACAGTTATATACACCGACGCATCCAAATCAATAGAAGAGACTGGCTGTGCCTATTTTCTACCCTCAGGGGGTTCTGAATTTAAGTACAAACTTTCCAAGGAGTTTTCAATTTTCTCGGCGGAATCATTGGCTATACTCGAAGCTTTGAAATATGTTAAAAACTCTTATATTAAAAAATCGTTAATTCTTTCAGACTGCCTTTCAGTTCTACAGAACATAAAAAACACTTTTTTACCCAAAACATTTAGTAATCCTTATATTTTTCTAATAAAAGATCAATTAAAGCACTTAGTAGACTCTGGCTTTAATATAAAATTTATTTGGGTTAAGGCACATATTGGACTCAAAGATAATGAATATGTAGATTACTTAGCTAAAACCAGTATAATATCAGGCACTTTATTACCATATTCTTTATGTGTATCAGATGCCATTAGGATATTTAAAAAAACCAGCTAGCGACATGGAAAGATCAATGGAATCTTTACTGCCTTACAAACCAAACAAGATACACTACTTTACAACCAGTTATTCCACAAACTACTTGGTTTAAGAATTTTAAATCTCCACGTAAATATATAACCACCATAAATAGACTACGCTTTGGACATGCGTGTTATCCAAGTCATTTATATAAAATAAATGTGATTGAAGATGATAATTGCAAACATTGCGGAAAACTGGGTGATCTTGATCACATCTTTTTTGAATGCCCTAAGTTTCAACAGCATTCAAACTCTCTCTACAAAAAATTAATCGAATTTAATATGTATGCACCATTCAATATTCAGTCGCTACTGGCGACAGGCTCACAAAATATATATAATATCATTATAGATTTCTTGTCAGACACATGCATGGTTCTATAGAATTTGTACTCGAGCATGAAATGTTTCATGATCGTGTGGAAATTTAGATTTGTATCCTTTGTTTACCCTAAATGTTATAACACCTTATCCGTGGTCCAGTTTTGTTTGTCTACTAAGAATGTCTTGATGGGCCCCTAGACGAGAAGAAAGTGACCCTGTAAGTTTCCTTGTCGTATATTCTTCTATTAATTATCCGTTAGTTTTCGATTAGGGATAGAGTTGTGCATTTGTCTGATTGGAGAATCTATTGCAACTGGCTGAATGACTAATGGCTGTTCCACAGCTAGTGGAAACCCAGTAGCTGTCACGTACGTCACACATGACTGAGCCACTATCAACGCATGCGCATTGCATCAAAGAGAACCTTGCAGGCAAAAAAATCAAATTGCTTGCGTTTAGCTAGTTTGCTAGTAAACGTTCACACTTGCCAGTTTGGGTACAGTAGCTGGCACTTACTAGTTACTAGTATGCCATTGTGCTAGTAATAGGCGAGTGTGTATATCTCTGACATTACAGTTAGATCCAATTAAACATTTATTAAAACTGTTTTTAAGATATCCGGTAACCTCCCGTATATTGTGCATATAGCACCCATCCATTTGAAACCAAATTTCTTCTTCATCCTGAGTTAGGTACTTCTGCAAGACTAGATAAAATCTCTTTTTGTAGGAAGTCCAACAACTTAAATTTTTTAAAAGATAAATTTTCCTCATAGAAAAATATTCCAAGAATATTGTGTCTAAATATTCCTAACCAGACATTTATTATTCGACGATATTAGATATGATTATTTTCAATAATATTCTCAGGCTTCTTTGTTGACGAAATCCTATAATTTTGAACATTTAGTTTATTATTTAGTATAAATGTACATTCATCGCTAAATAAGATGTTTTAAAAAATTATGTGTATTCATTAGCACTTTCTAAAATTTCGTAAAAAAATGCCGCTCGTCTCTCAGGACCTCCTTCTCTTAGTCTCCCAGGAATTTATTTCTTTAAGGCTTTTGGAATTATGAATGATAAATTGGTCTGTAATACTTTGAGAACTTATTGTATGATTTTCAACCACTGCTGTTAAAACATTTATTTCGTTTTAATTATTAAATTTCTTGGTACTTCAGCAATATTAATTGTATAGATACAATTTGGAATCATGGTCCAAGTATTTTCAAGCTTTTTTAAAATCATTTGAATTACTGAATGACTTGAAATTCGTCTACTGATATATTTTACGCTAAATAAAGAATTGGCAGTCCATTCAGTGTTGCCTGAATAAAACATCTTTATTATTGCTACTTTCTCCTCAACTGATATTTGAATACGTTTTATCAACTTTATTATAAATCAAAATATAAAAATATTGAAAATCGAAATATTGATAACATTTAATTTCATTTTAACCAAACGTAACCCGTTATACACATTCTGCTCTACGTGTGGCCTAACTTTGACAGCAATACTCTGGCAAATGTATTATGCTTTTGCAAAATTTTGAAATGTGTTAAATCAGAGGACAATTTTAACATTTGTTTTCAATACAGATTTCAGCCCTCTAAAAATAGTTTCTCATGAATTTTCATGTAAAATAATTAGGGAAACAGAAATCCAACAGTTTATAATTTCCCATTGAGAATTTTGTTGCCCGTTTGACGATTCACCACCCGGTATATATAAGTAAGCTGTTTTCTGATATTTTGTAAAACTTCTTTGCTTTCATTGTAATGGATGTGTTTCAGTTGTTAGAGTATTTTTCGTTTTTTGTTTCATATATCAAAGAATGCTGTCCATTTATCTTTGGTAATGTTTCGCTTCTATTTCTAATTAGCATTTCATGTCTTCTTATAAATTTCCCCGTTTCTTTCCGTAATACGTCAAAAACAAATTACATTTTTTTTGATAATTTCATCTACTTTTCAGGTTTCTTCTTTGTTCCTGGTGCATTTTTTTCCACAAAAGCCTCGTTTGCTGCAATTTTTATTTAGTTTTTAATTTTCTCCAACCAAGGTATTCTTCATATGTAATTTTTTCTTCTGTTTTTGTTGAAATATTGACTGATTTTTTCATTTCGTCGTTAAGTAGTTGATATGTTAAGTTTTGTTTCGAAAATTGGTGGTTTGTTATGACGTTTTTTCATCTTGTTTCAGCCGTATTTTCCCAAAACTAATTTATGACCACTGGTTGGTGCTTCTCTTTTCCGCTCATTCTTACAAAATACGTACCATTTACAGTCAAATTAAATTTGAATATAAAAAAATAATATTAAGTATTTTGTTATTCACACATTTTGTTAGCACATTGTATGCAGCAAGATAACGCACAAATATAGAAAGGGTTGTCAATAAAAATAAGTGAAAAAGTTCTATGAAAATATAAATGAAAATATAAAAATAAAAGTATTTATCTTAGTAAATTACGATATGTTGAAATATCAGGTGTTTTGGGACTAATCTTCAGAATAATTGGGTGTCATAGCCTACATAGACATTAACAAAAACGGTGAAAATCTTATTGACCTTGCAGCTTTTTCATCAAGAATGATGAAAGCAAGTCATTACTATATCTCTCTAAGTATTTAACATTGGTAGAGAATATAATTATGGCATATCTTTCTTTCGCAGTAAATAATTTGCAACATTGTTTGGTAATGGTCACAACTTCGAAGTAGTAAAGGAGTTTAAATACCTGGGGGCGATAACCACAGCTGACAACCACATAGAAAAAGAGGTCTCAGCAAGGATAGCTTCTGGAAATAGAGCATTATAATCCCTTTTAACATTATTAAGATCGAAGCTGCTAAAAAGAAAATCTAAATTAACACTGTACAAGTCGATTACTCGCTCAATTATTACATATGGCAGTGAAACATGGACTCTCAACAAGCCGGAAATCAATAAACTTCTAGTATTTGAAAAAGGTTCTCAGAATAATATTTGGCCCTCAAAGAGATACATTCACAGGGGATTGGGAGAAGACACCGCAATGCTGAATTGGTGACTCTGTATGGAACTAAAAACATAGTTAGACATACCAAGGAAGACAGAATAAGATGGGCAGGTCACGTGGTACGATCGGAGGATGACAGAGTGTTAAAGACAGTGTTTTTTGTTTGACTAGATGGTAGAAGATCAGTATGCCGACTGCGAAAAAGATGGAAGGATGATGTTGAAGCCGATTTATCTAGAATTGGGCTACAACAATGGGAAATAGAAGCGCAAGATCGTAGAGGATGGAGGGCGATAGTGGATGTGGCGAAGACTCACCCCGACTTGTAAAGCCAGTGAAGAAGAAGAAGAAGAAGAGGTGTTTGGTTACTACACATGTATATGTTATGAAGACATTGTGTCATCAGATTAGATTAAAGCCTCCTGTCAATGATTGCTAGTATTCTTTTGTAAGGTTACCCCTAAGGTGCAATATACATACAATATACATACTTAAGAATTGAACATTTGAAGTTCTTTGCAATATGGAATATAAAGCATCGAATCCACTTTTCCCCAATCTCCAGTCCTTCCTGCTACAACACTATTATATATTTGATTTATTCGTCGATCAACATGCTAGCTAACTCTTCCACGAAATCTTCCAATCTCACCGAATTTTCATTTCAACCTTCTTACAACCAAAACTAAGATAAATACTTTTAGAAAATAGTTATAAAGTCAAAATACACTATTGTTTATATTTAACTGCTCTAAATAAAATCGCTAAATATTTGACAATATTCATGTTATGTAGTTTCTGATGTAATGAAAAAAAATCGACACATAAGCAAAACATAGGCGTTTCGTTTAATTTTTAAGAGGTGTAACACGTTCAATATAATAATACTTTTTAACAAAAATGGAGTTAATATGAAAAAAAGTCATGGATGTCAGAATACTTTATTGAAGCGCCTCTCTAATCATGTGCCACATATATGATATAATCCTTATTTAAGAGAGGTGAATAAATAAGAGGTGTCTGTATCAAAGTAAATATTGCCAAATATCAGGGTAAACTGATATTACTCGTCCACTCATGAATAAAAAATCAATAGTGTATTTTTAAGAAAATGAGAAACACAGTTTAGTAAAGCAGATGAAAAAGCATGAAAGTTACCCTTTGCCAGTATCATAGCCCCACTTATAAGATAGCGGCCCGTCATGGCCCACCATATGAAACTCAAGCCTTTCACCCTGAGAAGCTCCCTCATGCGTGGGAGCTGATGAAGGAATACCCAAAGAAGCAGTTAGTTGTGAACTTAGCCCGTGGTCGAATGTTGCACTGGCACTTTTAACTTGATCACTAGATGTTGTCGCGGTTTCCGAATATTTGGGAAAGCTAGCGGTAGGTCTTGGTTCACTGCGTTTAGTCGAAGGATCGATGAAATATGTAGAAGTAGGTACTGTTAATGTAGGTTGTGGTACGATTACTGTAGGTTTAGGTATGATATCAGATGATTTAGTTATGTTATCGACAGATTTAGTACTGTTTTGAGACCGTTTCCTTGGGATTAGTATTTTTCTGGAAGGCAGTACCTGAATGATCTTTTGGTTTTCCTTTTTGGCGAGTTTATCAAAGTTTTTAGTTAATTCTATTTGTTTTTCTTCGTACTGCTGCTTGCTAATCGGTTCGAAAATAATCTCAACCTTTGGCTTGGATGAGTAAGGCTTCTTTTTGTCGTGAATGTCTTCATTATATTTCTTAGGGAACTCTCTGGTAGGTAATTCCTGATTGTTGATAATAGCTGGGACTTCATAATAATAAATAGGATCATTATTAGGATTCCACTCGGTATCTACGGGTGCCACGAGTTCTTGGTTGGGTATTGGTACCTGATAATAGTCCGGTTCTTGAGATTCTCGTGGAGCTTTAAGATCCACGGATGGCTCAGGAGCGTAGAATGGTACAGGATTGGCTTCTTCTCTTGGCAATTCTAGTTCGACTGGTAACTGCGTTTGGAAGGGCTGGTAAGAGTCTGGTTCTTTGGATGGTGATGGAATCTTTCTAAACGTCGTAAGAGTTTCTTTTGGTAATTCTAGTTCAGTTGGTAACTGTGTCTGGAAGGGCTGGTAAGAATCTGGTTCTTTGGTTGGATATATTCTCTTTCCAAATGTCGTAAGAGGAGACCCTGTTGCAACAGCTGCAAAAGCGAAAATTGCCACCTGTAACAAAGTTATTATAAATCAATAAAACATCAAAATTGAGTGGTGTGTGCTAAAGCAAAACTTAAAAAAGCTAATAAGTGTATTTTATTTGCAGACATTTTTTTTATTTAGAACACGCTTGACTTAAATGAGATACTTCGAGTACAAAAAATGTATTGGATATTGGAAAGACAGTCCTCCCTGGAGATCCATAATAAGTTGCTTTTGTATAAACATATACTAAAATGTATAGGAATATATGGCATTCAGCTGTAGAAGAGAAATTTAATAAAAAGTGGAATGTGGTGCAAGTAATAGCACAATTTAATATTTATGTTAAAAGTATTAAAGCCTTAAGTTTAACCCAGAGAAAAAAGTACTCTGTTAAGGACTTTGACCCGACCAGGTCTGAGAAGTTTTATGAGTTTTATCGAACTCAATAACCATAACATCTGTATTTCCAGCAGTGTGTTCGGTGGACTTTTTAAATTATTAACAATCTAAGGCCAAAATGCATAATTTTCTACAGCAAAAAGGCATTTTGAAGGAATTTGAAAAAATAACTTTTTTTGCACTAATATGTCTTATAAGTCCAAAGTAACAACAATGATTAAAATGATTCTAAGGGCAGCATAAACAAGAGAGGGAGAGAGTTATTCTCTCTCTCCTCTCCCATCTTATTATAAATAATTAAAAAAAAATTTCCAGTACTACAAAACTTTACAAAACAATATTGTAAAAGTATTGCAATTTTTTGCTTATAAACAATTTGAATAGCTTATTTGCTATTTCCCAGGAAAAAATATTTTTTATATTTAAAAAGCTGATAAGTTAAAAAAAACTATTTTACGATTATTGTGAATGCGGTTAGTTCCTTTTTCAAAGTTGGCGATATCGAAAAATGAAATATGAACTTCAAACTCGAGCTATAAAATATCTCCCATTCTTGCTGATGGATTTTGATGCTTTTTTTGTGATTTGTATGTATTCCTTACAAACTACTAAAACACATAAACACATAAAAAATGAGCATACTATTGAACAATTGGAGCGTGGAACATAAAAAGCATAAATGATAAAGAAATAGAATTAGTAGAGGAGTTGGATGCAGCAAAATTACGTTCATTAGGAATATCAGAGATGCAGAAAAAATGACAAGCAATAGTAAGAATAAAAAATAATCATATTTTAATATGTATTGGAGTATCAGAAGACAAAAGAGCAGCTTTGGGTGTAGGTTATAAAATACATAAAAAACAGATCGATGATAATATAAAGACAAAAAACATGGACTGTAGGGACTTACGAAGAAACCTTTACTGGAATCAAAGAGTACAAATCGTAATAACTATCGAACTCAGTCTAGAAATTAAAATCAGGAGAGGAGTTAGGCAAGGATGAATTATGTCCCCATTACTATTTAATGTATACCTACAGTGTGTAAAAGCCAAATGGAATAAATTCATTATTTAGGTTACTGTACATATTTATAAAAAATCCCGAAACACGTCAAATTTAAATTATAACTCGACATTATTTAACGTGAAAATGCAATTCCTACCAATAACCCCTTAGAATAACAGGTACAACCCCCAATGTTTAAAATAGGAAGTATAGGCTTGTGATATATCGTTTGAAAGGTCTTTTCATTCTCCATTCAAAAATGTTGTCGCTTTCAAGTTTATTAAGATTAATTAAGATAAAATAAATTAAAATCATGTGGTTACCAAAATTCGATACAATACAATCAAAAACTAAAATGTAATGCAAAACGTAATAAAATGTAGAACACGAAAAAGAACTATGAATGTTAATGAAACACTGTCTTCTAACATTATTTAACATAACAGGCGTGATCGACCTAATCGCAAGCGTTATTCGTTCTTTTAAGTCATTTAAATCATAAGGTTTAGTTTTGTACACATGGCTCTTCACATGTCCCCATAAAAAGAAATCTAATAATGTAAGATCAGGTGATCGCGCTGGCCATTCAATGGATCCTCGCCTCCCTATCCACCGATTGGGAAATATTGTATCGAGGTACTGCCGGACATTAAGTTGGTAATGTGGTGGTGCTCCATCCTGCTGAAACCATATCGTATTCGCTGGAACTTGAGGGTTTCCTGGATCAGGATATAAATTTGCCAACGTTGGAATGACATCATTTTGAAGTAGTGCCAAATAATTGTTGTAAATCAAATTGCTCTCAATGAAAAAGGGACCAATGATATTGTTTCCTACAATCCCTGCCCAAACATTAACCTTTTGAGGGTATTGAGTGTGTTTTTCTCTCATCCAGTGAGGATTTTCCGTGGCCCAGTAGCGGCAACTTTGCCGATTAGCATGACCGTTAAGTCAAAAAGTACACTCATCGAAAAACATAACGTCTTTCAATTGGATAATATTGTTATCCAACATGTCCATCATTTGCTCACAAAAAAAGTTCTCCTATCAAAATCGTCTTCCATGAGCTCCTGAGTAGGTATCATCTTAGAGGGATGCAATTTATTTTCTTTTAATATGTTTAATATCGATGTATGGCTAGCGTTGAATGTAGTGGATGCCTGTCTACTCGATGCATGTGGATTTTCCTGAAACTCAAGCAACACATCTAATTTGAATTCATCACTCAGTGCATTGGCAGCTGCTTTTTTATCTGCCTTACATGACCAAACTCGCAAAACTGCTTCTCTATTTTACTTATTGTTCCTTGTGATATAGGCGGTAAGTTAGGAAATATCTCATGAAATAGGCGAGTTACTTCCTGTTGTCTTCGGGTGTTATCTCCGTAACCAATCATTTGTAAAACTGTTATTTTATGCATTTCCGTTAATCTAACCATTTTTCAGAATTGAATTGAACGAACTTTTTACTTAAATTAAAATACTGACAACTTAACAAAACAATTTACTAATGCGTGTTAAAATAACGTTGCCACGAAAATTCTTTAAAGTTTTTTAATGGTTATCATCTAAAAACCACATTGCTATAGTTTTTGTTCACTTTCTCATTATCAAGACCTAAATGGGAAATAAGTTTTGAGTATATTTTAGCGAATTTCGGTAACCACATGATTTTAATTTATTTTATCTTAATTAATCTTAATAAACTTGAAAGCGACAACATTTTTGAATGGAGAATGAAAAGACCTTTCAAACGATATATCACAAGCCTATACTTCCTATTTTAAACATTGGGGGTTGTACCTGTCATTCTATGGGGGTTGAAGGTAGGGGTTGCATTTTCACGTTAAAGAATATCAAATTATAATTTAAATTTGACGTGTTTCGGGATTTTTTATAAATATGTACAGTAACCTAAATAGTGAAGCCATTTTTGAAGAAGCATTACTATCTCAAAGTGAAAAAATAATAATTAACGGAAGATCTATTAATAAAATAAGATATGCAGATGACACCGTGATTATGGCAAGCTCTGCTGAACAACTCCAATTACTGCTAAACAAAACAAACAGTTTTTGTGAAAAATATGGACTAAAAATGAATATAAAAAGACCAAATACATGATAATAACAAAGAAAACAAATATACCAACTAACATACATTTGGGAAATGTACTGATAGAAAGGATTGATAAATACAAATACCTAGGCACCTGGATTTCAGACAATAATGATCAAACAACCGAAATAAGAACCAGGATAGAAATAGCAAGAAATGCGTTTGTAAAAATGAAAACAATTCTCTGCAACAAAGACCTTTAGAACTGAGAGTAAGAACACTGATATGCTACGTGAGTTACAGTACAATGACCGCTACCATCCAGTAAATTCTATCACGTGGATTCCACACGGGACTACCGCTCGATCATTCTGGACTGAATTGCGACGTATTGGACTGCAAGATCAGCAATTATAAAATTATAAAAACACCATGTAAAAATCAATATTTTTAGTCTGATTTGTAGTTTAGTCTGATTTATAATTTAGTCTGATTTAAATTTATTGTTTTGTTACTAGAATCTTTGTAAGTCTAAAATAAAAGTTTTAATTGTGAATTCAGTTTTTAAAAAAGTGTTTTTCCCAAGAACATTCATAATTCGTGTTTTCAATACTGCAGTATGGACTAGAAATCTGGACATTGAAGTAAAAACACATAAATAAGTTACAGTCCTTTGAAATGTGGTGTTACCGGAGTATGCTTAGAATAGTATTGACCCAGAAGAAAACTAACATGGAAGTATTCCGAGAAGTGGGCAAAGAATACAAAATAATAAACACAATAAAAATAAGAAAGGTACAATATCTGGGACACGTAATGAAGGGACAGCGATATGAACTGCTAAGGCTGATAATACAGGGAAAGATAAGAGGAGGAAGGAGTAGAGGAAGAAGAAGAGTGTCATGGTTGAAGAATTTAAGGAACTGGTTTAAATGCAGTTCTCTAGAACTCTTCAGAGCAGCAATAGATAAAGTAAAGATAGTGATGATGATATCTAACCTCCGATTGGGAGACAGCACTTAACATTAGGGTCGAAAAAAAATACACACTAAACAAATAGGACTAAATAGAGAAATGACCAGAAATAACAATGGAAGGATATTTCTAGAATTTTAGACTTTAAAGAATATGACAATAACTAATACATTTTTTAAACACAAAAATTCACATGTAGGTGTACTAGAGAAGTCAAAAGTCAAAATAAAAACTTAATAATTTACTATATATTAACTAAAAGCAATTAGAGACAAGTAATGGATACAAAAGTACGAGAAGAAATGTTAAAAAAGGATAAGCACGGTACATTCATGGAAAAACCAATTAAAAAAGAGAATAAGAACGTAAAAGCTAAGAAACAAAGAAGTGGCAAAAATATTGGAGAAAAAAGTAAATGGAAAACGGAAAACAATAAAAGAAACAGAAGGCAATAATAATATAAAAAACATTAAATTATTTAAAAAGAATGCACATTTTTAATGTACGAAAAGTGTACATACAAATTAAAAATAAAACGTCAAAATCCATCAACAAGAACTGAAGATATAGTTTATAAAGCGA